AGGGACCGACCAGAGAGAGAGACATAATTCTTAAATATTGTACATTTAATACCTCAATACCTACATTCGACATAATAATAGAATATAATAAATATTAATATGTAGTACGCTTTTTCTCCCTATCCCGCATAATACGCTTTCCCGCTTAAGACGCGTTTTTGGTTGAGTCCCTGTGAAATCGTCTTCAACATGTTCTACTGTATATATTATATATATACATACAGATAGAGCTAAAGAAGTTTCACTTCAGTCGTGTGGTCATAAGCACACTCTTCTTTATTTCAAACATTGTCATGGTTTGCCGTCCTTTATCGGCTTTCATCGTCGTCAGTCGAATGTTTGGTGTTGTTGTTATTCGAGCGCCGCAGCACGTTCGCAACGTCCATGCGTCCGCTTCCCACAATACTGCATAGTCTATTATAAATCCTCCGTGTATTTTTACCTTTACTGCCTCATTACAAAACGTAGACGAAAGTTAAATCTGGACTAATACTAATGTTTTCACTTTCGTTAGCTAAAAAAAAGAGAGAAAACATAAGGTTTAAACTAATATCTTTAGTCCGCGTTTTGGAATAAGGGGATAAAAGTCTAAGTAGACAGCGCTCTATTTACAGCGTACAGTCTCTCTAAATAAATACACATAGTACAATTTATTTAAGCAATGTCATTGGTCTCTAAATATGGCCTTAAGAAACGTATACGACCTATTCTTGTTACTGTCACCTGACCTATATTCGCCCTTCATTACGCTTTGTCTTTTAAGGGCAAATGCCTGCAGCATTAATAATCTTAGCTCGGGTTATCCCTTTTATGTTATATTATTATCTGGATCGGAAGGTTTAAAAAACCTTAGTCTATTTTTTTTTGTTTCCTTTGCCTATAAATTGCTGTTGAATATCGTGGTTTTAACGTTTTTACCGCATAAGCAAGGATTGTGACTTTTAGCTATGGCCTGCTCAGACGAAGGACTTTTATCCCCGGAGAACCCAAAGTGCCTGTATCGTAAAGAAAATGTCTGCCGAGGAGTTGCCACGGACTCAACGCACACGATGTGCGAACATTTATCCCTCGAAAATTTAGAAAATCACACGCCCTTATTAAAGTTAAAACTTAAAGTAAATATTCTCAAATTTCGTTGTGTTGTAATTAACATGAAATTTAGGAAAAACAGAAGACGTTATTTAAAGAGAATACTATGCTCGATGGTACGGGTGGTTAGCGCGTTCATCTGCGATCGTTGAACTTAAGCAAACTTTCGCAGTGGTCGGTCATTAGATGGATGACCAAAAATCTTCTATCTCGAGTGCCTTCGTGCTTCGGAAGGCACGTTAAGCCGTTGGTCCAGGCTGCATCTGCAGTCGTTAGCACCCGCCAAACTGCACGGCGCCCGCATAGTGGGCCCAATCTAACTATTCCATCCATACGGAAGGCCTGTGCCCTAGCTGTGGGGATATTAATAGGCTGATGATGATTAGGTTCATTTCTTTAAATCGGATAGAGCGCGCAACGCGGACTAGACCTCGCTATGTGCGTTGCTACGCCGAGTCACATAAGTATTTTTTTCGGGGATACTCGCGTTTTTGTGTCGCGTCCGGTCTCTTGGTGTCCTTGGTTGTTCGGGGGATTTTTTGTACGCGGTGCTTTTAATCTGTCGTATGCGTTACTCAATGCAGTTGTAAGCGACCTATTTTGGGAGACAAAAATACCGCGGACAAAAGTCTCTCGTCTGCTATTAACTATAACCAGGCAAGAGAACGTTTTAATGTTTTAGATTTCGGAGAGCTTAATCTGATTTATTTATCACCGTCAGATGCTGCAACTACTTGTCACCGAAATGAGCGTACTTTCATTTTCTTACGTGGCAATAAAAAATCACCGTAATTGAAAGTCTCAGGAAACGGCCAGCTTTAACTTTATAATTAAAGTTTTTCAGTGGGGTCCAATCCGTAGTGAATTAGTTGAAAAAATCTGGTATAAGATTAAATTTTTATTATTTATGCATAAACGTTACTATCAACATCAGCCTATTAATATCCCTACTTCTCGGGCACAGGTTTTCTCCTTTAGGGAGAACAGGCAGTTAACCACCGCAAGAGCAAAGTGCGGATTAGTGGGTGGGTTGTATCTGCAGTACAACTGCACCGCAACCGGAAAAATGGCAAATATTGATCACCCATCCTCCATGATCACCATTGTAAAACTCCTTTCTGCATAACGGACATGATTTTTAAAGTAATTATATGACTTTGGACTATTTAATTCTGCGAAAAAGGAACTAAATTTCTAGTACAGATATTAGCGATCTTATTATAAAAAAATAAGACATTTTGTATGCCATTTTTTTAAAACTCGTGTTGAGCGTACTTATAACTTTTTTGTGGTAGTAAGGTAGAAGTTTATTAATGAACTATGCTCAGATTTTAGACTGTTCTTTTATCTGTATATATACTATGTACAAATAGTTTTGGGAATGTGCTCAAACTGTTCAGTTAGTATACGAGTATAATATTATGAGAAATCTATATTTTTGTTTGATTCAACTCGTTTTCAAGTTTTAATATTGGATACATTTATCGAAATTATATTTCAACAAAATAAAGTCACTTATTTGCCATACAAAACCACTTATTATACATTCTATTGATATATCCTTTATTAAATTTTCTCTTTTGATGGAAACATTTTAAGTTTCTTTATTACCATCCGAAGTCAACTGTATAATTGATTTTCTACACCGTCGCTCCCTATTCCCATTTTCTCCATGAAAGGTGAAGATGATATCTTGCGGTCCATGGAATTGTAATAAGTATTTGCCTATATCGAGGTTGAAAGAGGTTCCAACTTATTCAGGATAATTGGATTGAATTGCTTCAGCGCACACTTTCAGTTCAATTTATTGTTAATAAATACGTATATTTTTTAGTTTTATGAAAGAAATATACTAAATTAGATTTTCGTCAGAATATAAAAGATGATTAAAAAACCGATTCAATTGGTTGTATAGTTAATTTTATTATTACCTTTACAGTCGTTTAACATATTCTTTTACTGTTTACAGATGAGAAATTTGTGTTATATTAACAAAAAAAAACTGTGCAACAACATATAAAACATCTGAAAGTCTCAATTGTCTACTTATAATTTTGGCTTTGCCTTTATAACCACTAGATATATTACAAACAAGTGATAACTATATTTAGAAACAAGAACTTTTTAGCTTTAAACTGTACAATTTTGTAATAAAATACATGTTCATTATGTATACCGTAGACCTATAAATGCTTCTTCCGAGTTGGTATTAAATTATGACGAATACATTAATACAATTATTATTTACATTCCACACAGTATATAACTATGAGCCTTTTATAGGCTCAATAAAATTCTTAATTACTATTACTCTTAATATGGTACCTACTTAATATTTTTGGCAAGTAAATCTCGGTGACATACATTACATCACGCCCCAAATTCAAAAGAAAAGACATGAATGTTTCATTCACTCAATCTTTCCATAAGACATACAATATTGTGTATCTATATATCGATACCAGGTGTTTTTAGAACTCAAAGCATATTTTAACTACTTTCATTGTGGTCAGTACATTACAATATTATAGTAATATAAGTTATTTACGGGATTGTTACCATGTAACTTGTTTTAGCGAGTTTCCGAAACCATGAAAGTTTAAAACAATATATTATAATATAAGTACTATTTATGTAACAAATGAATATTGTTTCAAATTCTTGTTAAGATATTATTACATCATAGGCCTCTTGCTCACGGCAAGTGTTTTTAACTGTACGGCGTTTTAGCCTTACAATTTTTTCTTCACCACTTAAATCTTCAAATATGGGATTTAAATTCATAAATCTCTTTCCCGGAATCATACTGAAACCGCTAATTTTTTATAATAATAAAAACTTTTATCACGCATCAGTTCTTTCTTGACCTAATGTAATTAGTTTTTTTTTACTTTGTTCATATCACTTGTTTACCAATTCAGCGTTCATAATCTGTCACGAAAACGTCAAAACTTCCGGCGCCGCACGCTCACCGCATGCTCGCATAGACTGCGATACAATACTGATAAAAATCACGCCGTGCGTAGACGTGGCGCGCATAAGGGGCAGGGCGCTACAGCGCTACGGCACTACGTGACCGTACTGCTCCATACAACACTGACAACCGTGCCTACGCACGGCGAATGAACCGTGAATTTTTACGCCGTATAAACGTGTGTGTACAAGAGACCGAAAGTCGCTTAACGAGACGATTTTTACCTAGTTTCCAAAACGGGTCGGTGCCGGCTAAGCTTGTTCAAAGCACGGTTTGTACGTGTGTACTGACCCCAAGCCGTCGCTAGCACCGGTGTCTTTAATAAACTACCATATTGTCTCTTACCTAACTGAAGACCGTTGGGTAGAAAACGTCTCGTTAACAAGAGCCCTTAAAATTATGCCTTAAAATATGGCCTGACTTTAAATGCAACGGTCAGATTTCAACAAAATAGCAAAACAGTTGGAAATTTATTCAATAGGTCAGAAGGTATCAGATAAGTTCTATATTAGTGATTGTAAAGAAATTATTTCCAATTAAATAACCGGCTATGACGGCTACATTTATATAATGTAATGTAATTATTAATATAATGTAACAAAAACTTTATATTAGGAATCGATTGTTTCATCAACCAATAGGTCAGTACTTTTTGTGACATTCACGTCGAGTTACCACAAAAGTGTAGGTATTTATTATTCGATTATTTATGAGTCTTATATTAAGCTAGATGAAGTTAAAATTTAACAATTTAGAATAACTTGATTTCTTGTAAACTGTACATTGGCAGTTACGTAACCTCCTTTTTCAGATGGTATATCTTAATATAGTACAATAGGTATAAGGATCAAATAATAATGCATAATTATCTTTAATTATTGCCTTAAAATATAATGAAATAAGCAAATCAAACGAGAATCAAACATACTTTTTGTATCCCACATTTAATTCCAAAATCAGAGATGTTTTCATAAAAAAAGTATTAGCTCCAATATTTTTAGTGTAACATTATCAAGACAATTGCAAACTTAATATTGACGATGACTGGTTTTTTTTTTAAATACATTGTTTCCTTTATTATTTTCTGGAGATATTTTCATTATTATCTTTCACCTTTCTGTGACAATATTGTCAGAATAACTACTTAAAACAAAGGCTAACTTTACCACACCATTCCACTTGCTGTCACTTAACAATTTTCTTTCATGTGAAAGAATTTAGCAAAAGTACGATTGAAATTATATATAACTTTTGAGGTTGCCAAAACAATGTCCCTTTATTCCATGTATCATGGTGTACTGCCGCTTGATTCTCTCCTGCAGAAAAAACACAAATAGTTAAAAACTTAAACTATGTATGTCGTTTACAGTTCGATTGAGTTAAATTAGAAACACTTCAGTATATTTTATTTTGAATATTACAACACATATTTTTTTTATAATTCGTGAAATAATTTACTCATTCCAGCAAGATTTTGACTATTATATAAAATATAATCAAAATCTTGAGAGAGAAGACATTAATTTCTTCATTAATTTCAAACGGCAGCTCTCTGTACTAAAGAAAACAAAATCGTCGCATTAAAAATGAAAATCTATGTTTAGGAAGCTTCAAAGTTCTAAATGGGTTGCTAAATGATATGATGATATAATTATGATATTTAGTTGTAGCATAGACACCACATATTTATTTTACGCAACAACTTACCAATCAGCACGTGAACATTGACGACAACTTGAGAATGGTTCTGTAGAATACAGGTGTATGTGCCGCTGTCATTTTGCGATGCAGATGCGACGTTGATTGTGGCGCTAGAATCCAAAGACGACAATCAATTTGTGGTTCATTAGAAATTCCGATCTTCGAGGCAGCCGTTTGTCTTGATTGTGAGGTTCGAACGCCCGAAGTGTGACAGACATTTAGATGACTTTAAATGTGGTTTAAGTTACATCTCCGTGGTTAGGTATATCCACGGTTCGCTTAGGAGATTAAGCACCCAAGGGTTTTTTCTGCTTCTAAGTATTCGGTGTTCTAACAATTGAATTGACATTTGAAATCGTTCTACATTTGCTTTTTCATCAGAATTACAAGTAGCTAGCAAGAAGCAATTACTTTGATATTGATCCTTCAATGAGGTCATGTCATGTTCAGATACAAGAGATTTGATATTGAAACCAACTCAAGACGCTGAAATCAAAAACATTAGGTACGTAATATCGCTACAGGGCATGAACGATATAGATAGCCCAAACGATTTGTTATATTATCTACATATTGACTTGATATTTAATATTATGATTTGTTGATTCATTTGCTTATTAGTTTATTTAGTATTAATAATATTATGTGTATTTTCTTATAAAAATCCCATTCTATACAGTACAATTTTACGGAACACATCCATGGAAACATTGTTATTTTATTAACAAAGGAAAAAGTTCCCGTTCTTTTATTTGGAGCGTTAATTATCATAAGATTATAATTATATTTTTACCAAAGTTCAAAGTTTCTGAAAATCGAAAGAGTTTTTATTATTCGTATCGCATAGATAGTTCAAAAGATATATCAGAATTCACAACATAGTTCTAATTTTATTTAAAAGATAATCTAGTTCATTTATAATAACGTTATGTTGTTATAAATGTTATTCAAAGGTTCTTAATGCAATTATGTATTTTTTATAAAAGAAAGCTTAACTGATTTGACAAAATACCTATTTATAACAAATCACCGAATAGTGGCTCGGGAATCAATTTGTTTGATACATGAAGTTTTGTTAAATACAGAAATAAAAAATAATTTGTAATATCGTTAATATATATTTATAGATATTTATTAGTTTTATAATATTAATATTTGTTTAGTTTATAATACAAACAGTAAGTGCAACCGCAAGTCTTCTGCCATTTGCTTCAAAAGTTCTGAGTTCGACTCCTAGTCGGAGCATGTATTTAAGTAAGCTCAATTATTCGTTTCTGTATCAGTGTTGCTTACTTATTTCCATTACTTAATATCGATAGCACAAATCTTGCTTAGTGTTATTTCGGAATTTATTTAATTAAATATAGTCTTTATATAAGATAAAGTGATTGACTCAAATTATACAATTAGGATTGTTTTTGTCAATCTACAACAATTTTACACAAAGCACGAATGATACTAACCTCAAATTGCGAAACGTGACGTTGTCAAAGAATTCTTTGCCCTGCTTCTTCCAAGCTAAGTCGTAGATATTATTCTCGACCGGGGGTGGGGTTGGTCTTACTGTAGTCAACACAGTCGTAGTCTCCGCCTCCGGTGCCTTTGTTGTAGTACTTATGCTAACTGTTGAAGTGACGGTCGTTGTTTCAACGCTCCAACTTTTGTTCATCATTAAATCTATTCTATTAAATACGGTGCTCATTCTTGTTGTTAATTCAGTTGTTGTTGTTACAGCGGTTGTTGATGTGGAAGGCGTGAGCGTGGCAGCAGGCGCTTTTGTCGGTAAAGTTGCGACGTATTCTTCTGATATGATACACGAGAGTTTGATTGAGCTTCCCGCTTTGTAGAACATGTCTTTTACGGCGTGCGTGTGATCACTGTTTATAGTTAGCACTGGCGCTGAAATATTTGTAGTAATTTAATATTTTTGTCTTAATGTTTACAAATGCTAGTTAATGAAGTTATGAATAGGTTTTAGCTATTTACTTGTTTGTTTTAAGTAATAAAATTTCAGATATATTAAAGTATGTAATTGACATATAGCCATAATTCAAGCAAGTCCTAAAGTTTCTTCCACTAACTGAACTCTATTGCTACATTTAAATAAAAAACTTTTTATATTAATATTATTACTTGTTAAATCAATTAAAATAAAGTGTTATATCCATTTGATTCCTTTCGTATGAATAAAAATCTTTCATACTCACGTAACACTGTAAGATTAACAAATATAGTTCTCGGCGGGTGTGTAGATATTTGGCACATATAGTTGCCCGCGTCAGTTCTCTTGACTGGGTTCATACTTAATCTCCAATTATTGGGGTACTGAAACTTCACGGCTATCCTATTGTCCCCCGTGTAAGGGGCCGGGCCCACTGTGAGCAGTTGTGCGGTATCTGTCGAGTTTCTCATCCACATAACCTGAACAAAGGAAAGTAAAATATCATGCCCCATCCATTAGTAAAGGATTATCGTTAATTATAAAGTATTGTAACTTGACAATAGATTTAATATTAAAAGGGTGTTAGTCGTATTTCAGAAACAATAATCTGAATGTGCCAGCTCAGACTTAATAATAGTTCCTAGACAGATAGACTAAAAGAATTCTTTGCCGAATCACTTTCATAGTTATTATTTTATTATAATTACTGTTGAATTACGCGATGTAGAGTTAATCATTATGTACTCAATATATTGTTTCAATTCAAAAACCTTTAAGTTAGGAAAGAAGTTCTAAAGTGAGTTTTTCAGAAAGTCATCTTATACATATATAGGAACATGTAGAAAGATTGAAACATAAAAACTTGACAAAAGCAACTGGAAGAAAATCACTCAAATAATTAGACTGTAGATATTATCCCAAAATTAATTCTTGAGGTCTTCGATTGTAATACATTAATATTACTTTAAAAACTTTCTCATTGTTCAATATATACAACCTTTCTGTGAACAATTCGATTTAAGATTTATTCTGCCTTCTGTTTTTTATTAATTTATCAATAAGCACACTTACTGACTTACAAGATAAATTCATATTGGGATGATACATTATTGTGGTAAGATAACCGGAATTAGAAACATTTATTACGAACCGATGGCGTAGCTTCTAGACATTCATGAGTGCTTGTAACAGACTTAACTAAATAAATGATTTTGAATATGATTATAGTGTCAGTGTCAGTGCTTTGCTAGGATTGATTAGTCAAATCACAACTATATCGATTAAATACGGAAGTGCCGACAAGTGTATATATATATAATATATGTTACCGGCCATACCCGATTTTAGGACAAACTAGTTTTGCCTAGTCTAAACTAGTCCTTCCTATACGCGATAGGATTAACTAGTATAGCCTAGTCCAAACTAATTTATCCAAAGCCCGATAGGATAGCCCGAAGCCCGAGACTCTGTTTGAAAAACCGCTAGAAGGTGAGCATGCTCAGTGGCGCTTTCAGAGGATGCTAAAAGATCACTCTGAATACGCGAACAGAGCGACTCGTCCCACTGCTTCCGAGATGATAAAAAGGATGGTAGATCCATTCTGGGCATACCCTTGACCATGCGCTTCTGGCCTCTGCAAGGTGAGCTAACTCCACTGCGCCCAAAGAAGGGCATAATATTTTAGTAAAAAGCTCGGCTGTACCGTACGCAGAGGACAGAAAAGCGAGAAGGGAAAATGTAGGAAATATAACAAGAACCTAGACCTCCGACATGAACCAGGAGAGAGGCCTAATCCCAGCCGTTGTCGGAAAATGAGCAATTGAGAATTTTGGATAGTGTCATCCCGAGCGAACTGTCAATAATTAACAGTTGTCTTAGAAAAAGCCAAAAATGAGTACTACGTAAAAAATATATGAATTTTGGGGCGAAAGCGCAAAAACGAATTAAATATAAAGCCATGGTAGTGTTATTTTTCAATATTTTTATTTGAACTTTATATTTCTCTTCATAAGAATCCACGGTGATGGCACTGTATTCTAATTTACTTTGAACAAACACATTATAAAGAACCAATTTAGGCCCATATCCGTGAAACTGAGATGAAGTGCGTATGACGAAGCCAAGTTTGTTAGCATTTTTACATATAGTGTCGACATGTTTGTGAAAGTCTAGTGTCGAGTCCAATACTAAGCCTAAGTCACAAATTTCGCTTACCGTTTCTAAGGGACTGTCAGATAAGTTATAATGTACATTTAGTAAACAGCGCATACGTGTGAATGTGATGATTTTATATTTTTTAATATGAGAGACGATTCACTACACTCCGTTTCACCACCGCTTCTATGTCTTTTTGCAATACTTCACAGTCAGATAGGTTATCTATATCAAGACTCAATTTAAGGTCATCTGCGAACAATAAACATTTGGAACTTCGAATGACATTGGGTCGGTTATTAATGAAGTAAATGAAAAACATTGGTTCTATCGTACTGCCCTTGTTCGCCCCAGACCTCGTGTAATGTTTTTCAGACTCAAACTCACCAAATCTAACAAATTGTCGTCGATCACGCAGGTATTTGAAAAGAAATCAACTAGTTTAGACGAAAAACCCATCAGTGCCAACTTACAAAATAAGACGTCATTGTCTACCAGGTCAAATGCTTTTTAAAATTCAAAGTAGGCGGTGTCTACCTGCCTACCAGCATCTTACTCTGCATAAATAAAATCAAAGTGAGCCACAAGATTAGTAGTGGTAGAACGAGCCATTCTAAGGCCCGTATTACAGAATGACAACTAAGTGTTGATCTTTACTTGAGTACAGTTAGAAAGTGTTGTCGCTATGTGGTATATATAGCGGCATCCTATCTAACTATGCTCAATACTAGATTAATTACTGAGAATCTTTCTATAATACGGGCCTAAGGCTCTTTTGCCCTTTTTTATTCCATGCTGGATTAGGAGTTATGTAAAAGCAAGAAATGCGTCAAACACCAAATTTCCCACACTCGTACAAAAAACTTTAACTGATATGTCTACCTGTAGCTACACAGGTAGACATATCAGTTGAAAGTTTTTCAATTGATAGCAAGCTTTTTATTGGCCCTATTAACCACTATATATTATGTTCAGACACGTTGTTTTATCCTAAGCAACTTATTCAGTACCTTACAGCAAATTATTGGAAACGATATAAAGAATATAACACGAGAGCTGTCAATCTTAAGCCCTATTCAATTTGCTGAGGACTGCGGTTATCGATATATTAAGATTATTATGGAATCGTTTCTATATTATTCTCTCATTCTTATGGTGGGAGTTAAATATTTACCGATTTACCGATGTACTTACGTGGTTATTTATAATATTTTTTGGCATATAAATTATAAAACTACGCCACATTCGTGTCTTTGAAAGTATTTTATGTGATATGATTAAGGTCAAGCCATTTTTTACTAATATTATAAAAAGGCAAAGTTTGAAATATCGTTTAAAGCAAATAATTTCTAGATTGACTCAACGAATCGTGAGCGTCAGAATGGCCGGTCACTACCCATATTTTACATCGAAATAATTAAAGAAAGTTGCTACCTAGTTGCTTCTAGTTGCTACTAATCGTTAAATAGTTGCTACCCCCGATTAAAACAAACTTTTAAGCTTTTTAGGGTGACCAGCCATTCTGACGTCAGAATGGCTGGTCACCTATCCAGTGAGAACAAACTGCGTCACTAAATGGAGATTTTTTTAAAGCAATAGTTGCTACTAGGTTGCTACCTTTATATATATCGTTTTGGACCTCCCAGCTTTTAAGGATAAAGAGTTATAATCAATTGAGCGTTCAGACATTATTAAAACTGAACGCCTGTAGAATTATACGAGCAAATTCGAAATCAAGTGCATAATGGGTATTGCATAAGCAGGCGCTGCGTAATAGAATTTATTTTAAAAGTTGTCTACTATACATTATGTAATGTATGTTTTTAATTGTAATAATATAATGAATAATATTATTTTACCGTGCGAAACAAGGCAAAATAATGTTAATTTCTGTATTGAGTTATTTTTGTTTATTTGTAATAAATATTTCTGATGAGGGTAGGTAAATTTTTACTTTATTATGCAGAACAGTCTACTTTTATTTCTGGTACAATTATCGCATTCAATGTTTGTATTGTTTTATTATAGTAAATTAATACCAATTGTTGAGGAGCTCGATGGCGCATTTGACTGCGATTGTTGAAGTTAAACAACATTCGCAATGGTCGATCATTGGATGGGTGACCGAAAATCTTCTATCTCGAGTTCCTCCGTGCTTCGAAAGGCACGTTAAGCTATTAGTCCCGGCTGCATCTGCAGTCGTTAGCACCCGCCAATCCGCACTGGGCCCGTGTGGTGGGTCATGACCCAATCTCCCTATGCTATCCATAGGGAAGGCCTGTGCTCCAGCAGTGGGGAGGTTAATAGGCTGATGATGATGATGATGATGAATACCAATTGTGCGGGACGCCGGGCTGTCGTAGTAGTGAGAAGTTACCGACCCGCACTTATTAGGTGGAGGGTCGAACGGAGGTGTCTTGACGATGGAAGTGGACGTGAAGTAGCTGGCGAAATAAAACCACTCAAGATTCGTTGTCGAAGAAAGTCGGTGTGCGCTGGTAACGGATGGCCGGTAAGAAGTCTTCCGAAATCTCGAAAAGGTTTTCGGCGGTAGGAGTGAAAACACTTAAGACACTGTTCCAATATAAAATTTATTTAAAAATACTTACAGTTATTTTAAAGGATCCTTTACAGTAAATTCTTAAAGTATCTAACACTATTTACATTGTGTACTATTATCCTCAGTGTATGTGCAATTTTTAGTGTTTTACCCAACTGTCCTGACCGGTTTCACTAACACTATAGAAACTCATAATTTTCACTGAACAATGGCCAATATTGCAAAAGTTCTTGAGACTCAGCAAGCTTTGGAAACAAAACTTTTACTAAGGATGAACGAGCTGGAGAGTAAATGGAATTCTTCTTCACAGCCCAAGAATGATGGTTCTCTTACACAACTAAGACAGGAGTTCCATGACTTCAAGTCTGAGGTATGGTCTGTGTTGACGTTACTGCGAGACCAGATATCACAGCTTCTCAAATCTGTCGATGACATAGAAATGAGGCATCGCAGGAAGTATCTTCTCGTTGGCGGCATACCGGAGAATATTGAAGATGTTTCCAAATTCATTATATGTCTTCTGAACAGCAAGATGGGCTTGGATCTGACCACAGATAAATTACGTGTTTGTCATCGTCTCGGTGGTGCATCAGTAGAGGGGAAATGTCGCCCTGTGCTACTGCGTTTCACGGATATTTCCATCAAATCTACTGTTTGGAGTAAGAAGACAGCACTCAAGGGTACTCCGCATACATTATCCGAGTTCCTAACACGTCAACGTCAAGCACTTTTCATTCGTGCTCGCAAACGTTTTGGGATCAAGAG